TATATATATATATATATATATATATATATATATATTTCATTGGACAAAAAAGAAGAAGAAAATACTCATAACTAAGTTATAAAAGTAAGCACCATTATCCTACAATTAACTTATATTTAAACATAAGCAACCTAATCAAATGTACAAGTAATAAGAAAATTGAGAATTACTATCGACACACTCTTTGATATATTCTTTCTAACATAATCTATTATTAGTTAAAATTTATTAAAAAATTATAGAATTAGGAAAAAGAATCTATAATTATAATGCAAGCCCCACAAAAATTTATCATTTTCAATAAATGTTAACAAATAATATAATGTATGTTTTTTGAAGAAAAAAAAAAGTATATCAGAGACTTTGACATTTAAGAAGAAAAAAGAGAATGTTGACATTTAAGAAGAAATCTATATATTTTAGAGAAAAGTACATGACACTATGAGGTTTCGTGAAATTCTACGTACAAAAGACCTCTTACTTTTTCTACCCTTGTAATTGTTTGAAAACGTTAGACTAACACACATTAATTACTTGAAAAAACATTATATTCCATTGTAATTTCCTGCAAGTAAAGTTATATTCATTAGTGTAAAAGAAGTATTTTACGTCGGTTATTTTGGAGTTTTTACGTCGTAAATAAGTCCGACGTCAATGCCGGAGACGTAAATTTACGTCGGATCTACCATGTCCGACGTAAAATAGTTTCCATCATGCGTTGCCAAATCATCCTCCTTGTCATCGGCGGCATCTACCTCTCCTGCGTCGCCGACCGGAAGCCCCAGGCCAGCTTCAAGGTTGTCCTCCTAGCCCTCTACGCACACGAAATAACCTCACGTGCTACCCAATCGCTTTCCATCACCATCCCCGACCTCACAAACCCCAACATCTACCACGACGCCAAAACCCCCCAACAAAAACGCCACCCTCGAGGTGGCACTCATGTCCCTGACCCTCGAACCCCACGGCACCGTGAGGTCCCAAACCGCAACCTCTATGTCGTTGTGCCAATTCGCCAGAGGAGGTGATCCCGCTGCAGTGCGCCTCTAATGCCGCCACGCAGCCATGCCAGATGCAGTCGACAACGATAGAGTACTCGGCGGAGGAGGCATTAGGGACAACAGCGAGGTACTTGACAGTGCACTCGACGACGACGTGGTAGGCGTGGCAGAGGGAGGCGATGGAGGCGTCGTTGGAGAGGGGCTCAAGGAGTTTGAGGAGGAGGGTGTGCTTGAGGCAGAGATCAACGCCAAAGAGGGGGAGTGTGGTTAGAACATTTTGGACGGAGTCAAAATAAGTACCAAATTGATAACATATACTTACATATAAGTTTTTTACATCGGACACCACGAGGTCTAACATAAAATTTGAAATCTATGTCGGGTCTCGCTAAAATCCGACATAGATTTCAAATTTTACGTCGGATCTCGTGTTGTCCAACGTAAAAAATTTGATTATAATTTTAAAAATGCTACCGCATTTTTTTTACGTCAAATTTTTCTTTGTTCGACGAGAATACAGTGACATAAATTCCATATTTTGTACTAGTGACTATAAACGTTATGAAATAAAATAAAGAATGTGTACAATTTCACAAAATCTTATAAAAAGGTAGTTCAATTTACTAGATATTTTAACATCACAGTTTGAAAAATCTCAATTTTCGACCCTCAATGTATATTATCATTTTTTTATCCATCATGTTGTTGTTGTTATTATTATTATTATTATTTTGCATATTACATTCTTTCTTTGAATTTTCTCTATGCACTTTGGCTCAAGAAAAATTCTTCATGACACGTTAAATAATACTCATTCAACGCAGTACCCAAAATAAAAACCATATTCAAATTTTATAAACAAATGAAACCACGAAGCCACTAGGCAGCGAAGGCAACTACAAAACCGACCCTTCGAAATGCCCATTTTGTAATCTGTGATTGTAGAGAATGGAAAACATGCAACTATGGAAGGTGCTAACTTTTGCATTAGCCTTGGTAATGGTAGTAGTAGCTGCTGCACCTGATGAAACCCTCCCTGGCTGCACTTCCACTTGTGGAGATATCAAAGTTCCCTATCCATTCGGTATAGGCTACTCATCTACACATGATCAACAACCTTGTTTCTTGGAACCTAGCTTCAACCTCGTTTGCAACAACTCCAACTTAATATGGGGTAACGTCACAGTTTTAAACATAAGCGTGGAAGCGCACCACATGGACGTGATGTTTTGGGTGGCACGGTTTTGCAATGATTCGAATGACAACATCCCTTGGATGACAACAGCTTCGTTCAGCATCTCAAGGAGCCAAAACAAGTTCCTAACTGTTGGCTGCGACGGTTATGGCCTTCTCAATAGCTTTTACGACAACAACACATATTCAACAGGGTGCTTAACGAGATGTTATGGCAACGACATGGAGATTGATAACGGAACATGTTCGGGCATAGGGTGTTGCCAGGTTGATATTCCACCTCGCATGAGGGATATCAGTGTAGAAGCATTTCTCTTCTCCAATTCAACGAGGGACTGGGGAATGTGTAGTTATTCCTTTGTTGCCAAACACGACTCGTACAAATTTTCTACCACTGACTTGCAAAATTTCACATACGAGACTCTTCCTTTGGTTCTTGATTGGACCGTAGGAGACAAAAAGTGTAGCGGTTTTGAGAGTAATAGAGGAGAGTACGCGTGCAAGGAGAATAGCCATTGCAACGACACAGACACTGACTTTGGTTACCGATGCACATGTGATGATGGATATGAAGGAAACCCATATCTTGGCTGCACAGGTAATTTGACGAAAAATTATTAGACAGTACAATCATCAATCAATCACTATATATGATATGTATTTAAAATTTTAAGTTTTTCAACTTATAAGAAAAAAAATAATGACACTTGATGATATATAATATGGAGAGTATTCAGGGATGATGTCAGGATTAACTAATAATTTCTCTCAGCTTTTGTTATCATATACTACTGTTTTCGTTTTTGTAGTTTGGTTTATTAATTATAGTTCTTTATGTTTTACTATTTGGGATTTGCAGACATTGACGAATGTAAGACAGACAATCATACATGCATAAGTGAACAAAATTGTCACAACACCGAGGGATCCCACATATGTTTCTGTCCAGATGGGCAATCCGGAAATGGAACAAAGGGAATAGGGTGCCACAAAAAAGATGTAGTATCCAAGGTTCTCATAGGTAACCAACTAAGGCCTATTTGGATATGTTTCCTCATAAGAACTTTTATAGGAAGAAAATAAAAAGGAAAATTAAAATAAGTCACTTTATAAGATAAAATTAGTTTATGCACGAGTTAAATAAAATTTTGGAGAAGTTAATAAAAAAAAACTTTTACAAATTTACTTGTGCATAAGTTAGTTTTAATTTTTGTTATTTTTTATAAAAAAAAATTTCGGAGGAGTTTATCCAAACAAACATTAAGAACATTCAATTGCGTTTTTTTTTTTCCACTAAACCTCTTTTTTATGTCTAGATTTATCTATGTTCCAAGTGTTCATTGAGTATGATGCTAATGATAGTAGTTAAGAGAGGAATTCAAGAATTATGTTTGACATATTTTGAATGCAGGAGTAGCAGCAACAATTGTTATTCTAGTTGTGGGGACTAGTTCATTGTATTTGATATACCAGAGAAAGAAACTCGTCAAACTTAGAGAGAAATACTTTAAGCAGAATGGCGGTTCCATTTTGCTACAACAGCTCTCTACAAAAGAAAACTCCTCCCATATGACTCAAATTTTCTCAGAAGAAGAACTAAAGAAAGCCACCAACAACTTTGACGAGAGCTTAATCATTGGTAGTGGAGGTTTTGGTACAGTTTTCAAAGGGTTTCTGGCAAATAACAGAACTGTAGCCATCAAAAAGTCCAAAATAATTGATGAGAGCCAAAAGGAACAATTCATTAACGAAGTGGTTGTTTTATCCCAAATCAATCATAGGAATGTGGTGAAACTCTTAGGATGTTGTTTAGAGAGAGAGGTTCCTTTATTGGTTTATGAGTTTGTTGAAAGTGGTACCCTTTTTGATTTTCTACACACCAAAAGAAAGATAAATAATGAAACTTGGAAAACCCGACTAAGGATAGCCGCAGAGGCAGCTGGAGCTTTATCATATTTGCACTCTGCAGCCTCAATACCTATTATCCACAGAGATGTCAAAACAGCTAACATCCTCTTGGATAACACTTACACTGCCAAAGTGTCTGATTTTGGAGCTTCAAGGCTAGTTCCACTTGATCAAACTGAAGTAGCCACAATGGTGCAAGGTACTTTTGGTTACCTGGATCCAGAGTACTTGCTTACAAGCCAACTAACCGAGAAAAGTGATGTCTACAGCTTTGGGGTAGTGCTTGTAGAGCTACTAACTGGGGAAAAACCTCATTCCTTTGGCAGGCCAGAAGAAAAAAGAAGTCTTTCAAACCACTTTTTGTCTTGCTTGAAGGAGGATCACCTGTTTGATGTTCTTCAAGATGGCATTGTGAATGAAGAAAATCAGAAAGAGATCATAGAGGTTGCTATTCTTGCCGCAAAGTGCTTGAGACTCAATGGGGAGGAGAGGCCTAGCATGAAGGAAGTGGCAATGGAGTTGGAGGCAATAAGGCAAGTGGCGAAGCACCCATGGATCAGTGGAGACCAAAATCTGGAGGAGAACCAATTCTTGCTTCATGAGGCATCATCTAGCATTTTTGAACTTGGTGATAGCAGCAGCCATCAATATACTGGGTATGACACCATGAGGGATTGTGTAGTAATTGCCTTGGATAATGGACGATGATTGTGGCATGGCAGCAAACACTCCATTTCGATTTTTACCAAAGTTCTCATAATCTTTATGAAATTATCTTTTGTTGTTTTCATGTGTATGTATAGTATTTGTTAATATAATCGAAAGGTTATATGATTTTGTGTATGAATATATGTATTGTGTGTGTATTCTAGTATATTATCTAGAGAGTTTGGGAGAATGTAGCCCGAAATCTGAATAAACTTTCTAGAGCACAAAGCAAAATAATGCCTAGGGAGTCAAACTTCAATCATGATAGATCAACTGATCATGAGTCTAGGCTTCTTATACACAGCGTGGCCACCAATTCATTGCAAAAAGAACATGTTTCTTTGCTCAATTTCTGTCCAGTCACATTCATGTCTCATGTATTCAAACGTGTGAAACCATCTTCACATCCTATCATTTCTAAGAAAACAAAATCAATAATCATTCTCTTCCCATTTTGCTATGTTATTCTATATATGAATTTGGCAAGTCAGTATAAGATTGATGTCATAGAAACCCGAAATGAATTCTCGCAAACACCTTTTACTAAAAGAACATGATCAAGATAGAACACGTATAACAGGTTTCTTGTACTTGGTTCCCATATCCATGAAGCAGATTAAAGAAAACTTATATTCGCTATAGCCTATAGCGACTCTTTAAAGGTCTCCACCAGCTGCAGCGACTCTACTAATATGGCTTTCATGGCTTATAATCAGACCCAAAATTGCCACGTGTCATGGGTGTCGCTATGGGCCATAGCGACACCTAAGAAAACTGCCCCAAAGGTGTAATATGTTTCAAAACAACCC